GTAGTTTGTTTCGTTATTATATAAAACAAATAGATTCCATGTTGCCGTGCGTCTGTTCAGTAATAGATCACAGATGACGTCAAAATGTGGTGAGAACAGAAAAGCGGCACTGATGTTCTTACCACATTTTGACGTCTTCTGTGATCTATTACTGAACAGACGCACGGCAACATGGAATCTATTTGTCAAATATTCGCACGCTAAGCATGAACCAATTATTAATTCGCCTATAAAAGGGTGCTTCACTAGAAGAACGACTTGTAGCCGCTTGCAAAATATTTGAGACCCTTTTTTCTTTATCATCATAGACATGGATACAAGTTCATTTTTTCAATACACCGAGTAATGAGAGTGAGCCGTCACAGCCCATACTTAGAGAATCAAGAGGCTGCGACAGTTCACCAGCTAGCTTTACAGGTGTTTCATGGTTGCCACAGACATCACGTTTTGAAATTCTCTGACTATTTCCCGACTTTTTCTTGATAACAATACAATTTCCCTGATCAAATTAAATAAAACCGAAATGTCGGATATAGTAGCGGCTCCCAACCTCCCCTAATTGTGAAAAAATCAGTCACATTTAAGTTTGGAAGGAGACTGTGGGCGCTTTCCATTACACTAAAAATCCGGAAATTCCCGTTCTGATGCGACAAGGAAAGGTCTGTTTCGTTTCGGTCCGACTGGAATGTTCGGGAGCACCTCTGAAGGCGGTCCAGCCTGATCAGTAGGAGCGAAATTTGCCGTTCCGTTTTGGCAAACAAATTCGTTGCCTTACTTCTCTTCAGAAGACTTCAGACACCATATTACTTAAGTGACGGATTGTCGAATTAAAGGAAAAGAATATGGTAACAGCCATTTCTCTTGACTGACCCGACAAATCGGTAAATGTTATTCTATTTTTTTCTCGGTTAGTACCACTGGTCTCTGGCCGATTGGTCTAACATAATGAGAAGCACCCTTTATCATTCCGGGAGACATGGAACTACAGATCTAGTGATGTAGTGCAGGAAGAAACTTACCAGGGATGAATATTGGTCCCCTAAAGATCAGCGTTCTAAGTGATTCACACCAATGAACAAGTTGACACAAGAATTTCCCACTGAAATAAAAGGCAAATCGAGGACATCATTGACAATGAAATTAAACTGATATAAACTACCAAGGGGCTTCTGATCATGAGTGTAACTTTAACTATTGAGTTAAAAAATCTAATGATCAAATCTAATGATTAATCTAATGATTTGAGTTAAAAAAATCTAAGCTCTTCGAGAACATAAGAATACACTTCACTTAAACAACAACTGAAATTCCCCGACATTTCGGTACCGCTAATCATTAGCGAGCTTAAGCAAACCAAGACGACAATGGCAACAAGAACGGCCACCAAACTAGAGGTTTGATGAGCAAAACGATGGCTATATATGCACGTGCGTTGTAAATCGTTCTATATTTCGCAGCCGTCCTCTGTCAAACGTGAAATTAAATGACCAAGTTCTCCGTATTTTGGCGTCGCTGTCGTCATTAAGGGAGCTTAAACAATGCCGACGACGGCAACCCCAAGGCAACGCCGGAAAATGAACTTATAAGTTACCTTTGAATTTCGTAATTGTCTAGATCTGTTCAAAGCGCCTATTGGTCTCAGAACTTGCTGAAGCTAAATACGTAACGCCAGCGTTCAATTCCAAATGAAAATACAAAAAATTGGCCGTCGACGTTCGCGTTCTCCAAAATGCACAGAACTTAGATTTATAAGGCACGTACACAGCCATTGTTCTAATCATTACATGTAAACCTTTTGTTTGATGGCGTTTTCATTGCCGTTGCCGTCGTGGTTTGCTGAAGCTCTCTAACAATTATTACCTTCGTCCGTCAGCGCAGCAGAAAACAGTTTCTCAATTAAGAAACCATAGATTATTCTTTCCAAATGTGACTTATCGATGATATCAATGACTTCAATGAGTAATCAATAAGTGATCGATGAGTAATCAGTTGATTCCTTTATTTTTACTTTGAACGGCTTTCACTTGAGTGTCGAAAGGTAATGGGTTTTGCATTGTTACGCTTCACAACTCACGCCATTTTTCGACCCAGTACAACTCGCTCCCACACGCTCCCACGCTTCACGTTGGCTACATCTATTTATTAGGTGTTTTCATTGGTTCATTGGATTTATCGGTGTCCTATATCTACTTCGGCTAATTTTTTGTATTTCATTTGTAACTGAAAGTGCTCGTAGGATATTGAGCAAGGGCAATTGTTTGTTACCCACAGACACACTGAATAGATGTAGATAACTGCGAAATTCTGAAGTAAAATAGGCGACGCCTTCTTTTATGTGTTAGGTCCACACTACACCGACGAAATTTGAAAACGCTGATTTATTTCTACGGTTAGGCTTACCGTCAACAATAGTCCGGAGAAATTGCCCACCGAATTTCAAAACGGAGCTTTTCGAAAACGCTCTTCAAGCCAGATTTATTTCAAAACGCCTGCTGGCTTTGCGTCAGTTAGTGTATGCAAAAAAAAAAAAGGAGTTTGCGTTTTCAAATTTCTCCGGCGTGGTGTAGACAAGAAACATCTGATGCGTTTTCAGAGTAAAATTTTCGTTTTGAAATTTCTCCAGCGTGGTGTGTACGGGGCCTTAAATTCCTCTCTTCCATCTCAGGATCTCAGAAAACAGTGCTGAAGTAACAGGGTTCTCCAATTTCTAATCCATGCTCGAGATTAATTTCATTTGTTATCTGACTCTCTCGATTTTTAAAAATGCACAGCTACTGACAAGACACGCGTGTTTCGATCGTTCGAAGATCCTCATAATCTGACTCGATCTATTTAACAAATAGATTCCATGTTGCCGTGCGTCTGTTCAGTAATAGATTACAGATGGCGTAAAAATGTGGTAAGAACAAAAAAGTGGCACACGAGGCGGTGGCCGAGTGTGTCACTGATGCTCTCATTTTGTCGTCATTTTGACGTCTTCTGTGATCTATTACCGAACAGACGAACGGCAACATGGAATCTGTTTGTTTTATATAATAAAGAAACAAACTACCGCAGACAGCTTTTTTATTTCAAAATCTTTCAATATAAACTTAATTCGAAAGCCGGCCTTTGCTCACTTTGGCAAACACGAAAAAAAACATTTGACGTAATCTATTGTCTATACAAAATGAAGCAATTTCATTGGTCACTATGCGTAGCAAAGAATTGTGATTGGTCCAGGAAAATCACGCCACTGTCAAACTTGACTTGAAAGTCGCTTCTCGTTGAATTAAAACTTACAGCGAATGCAGAATTGAACCGCAAAATCTACAAGTCTTAAAAAAAAATGCTGGAAAGTCGAGTTAGTTTTCGTCATCACAGCCGCCCTGTGAGCCGAAAAGCGTGGACGTTGCCTTGAATATTGCAAGAGCTCGGAAAACTTTTGGTTGCGGTCAACACTGGAGGCCATTCGATTAGAGTTTTGAATGAAAGAAGCGTTAGTGACGGTGGAATTTGTGTCTTCTGTGGTTGGTGATTTTCAAATCAGTTTGATACAGTGTCGGTGACACCTCATAGCTGCGATACAGTTGGCCGTGAGCTGTAGTGAGCTATACTTTACTCGCTGCTGTGCCTTAAAACGGACTGGAACATTCGCGTCGGAAAGCAAGGTTATGTGTTTATTTTAACTGATTTTAAGAACTGATGTTTTGATGTTTCATTCCTGACATCAATCTGTGTCAACATTTATTTTGAGACTGAGAAAACTTGAATTCTTTAACTAAACTAATGTCATAAACATTTTGTTCATTGGGTTTGCTAAATTCGAGACAAAGCAATGGTTTCTTACCTTAAAGTAATTTCAAGACCAATTTTGTGTTTGGCTTAGTCTCGTTCGACTGCCGACTGAGACAGCTCGAGTATTTTTTCTGAGTTATTTTCTAAAACATAAACGGCTTTTTTCTTCTTCTCCTGCTTCTCGTACCTGTTCAATGCCTCGACAACGCTTTTTTGTACCTTATCTTTCGCCCAGTCACGTAAAATATTATCTAAATTCTCAAAACCTTCCGCCATTTTGTTTAAACACAGAGGGAAAAGCTTTGTAATGATGACGTCGATCGTGCGTCTGTCCTCTAATAGATCATAGGCGAGAATCAATCAAAAAGGGAGAATAATTTGGGTTATTAAAAAATAAATATATATACTTTTTTGTAGCTGCGCAGGCAAGAATGTTGTTTAGATTATGGTCAAGAAATCGTAAAACAAAACTTGACTTTGAATACTGATGATCCTCAAACACACTCTCAAAAATGTATCACTCCCTGGTTAACTGGCCAAAGCTTTGTAAATAACGTGGTATACACAAAACTAACACTTTTCTCTCCTTCAATAATTGAAAATCACTAATGTTTCGTTGCAGCTATTATGTATTGTAGCAAGTGATTATATTCTCTTCACTGTAGCGAAATGCTCAGCTAGGTTCAGTTTGTACTTTTCGTTAGCTATTACAAAGGACCGTACGCGTGATGCAAATACATTACTACAAGTTTGCGCGCGGCAAAGACGCTCATCACACCTTTTCAAAACGTTTTCCTCGTCGAGGTAGCAACATTTTTACTTAATTAAAGAAATTGAAAGTTGTCAATCATTTAGTATTTTCTTCTCTGTTGTTTTGGACGGTTCAGCTTACATTCCTGGTTGTTTTGTAAATTGAAAGGTAGAACACGTTTCAACGTAGTTTGCGCATTGTTTGCCTCCGAACATCAAGTCGCGTAGATTATCGCCGTGGACGTGGCTAGGTTAGGGGACATACCAATTCCAAAGACAAATTTTGGACACTTTATCCCGCGGGGGCATTCGCCGTTGTGCACTTGGACTTGGCGTAGTACGTCATTTTCGCCAGTTTCCAGCCCTGATTGAGAGCCAGCTGACCAAGCTGTTTAAGTACTTTTTGATCGAGGGCCTCAGTCTCCTTAGGGATTAACACTGATAGCAATAGGAAGGTAAAGCAGCAACCAGGAGTGAGTTTCATCGCGATTCGGAAGTTTGAGATGTACCTGTTAAAAAAGAATTAATAAAATCAGTTCACTCAAAGCACATTTACTATACCAATGCTCATTGACCAATTCGTATGTTAACAATTTATTTCGCCTTTCAAAGGCCGCTTCACTTAACGAAAAGACTTATCGTAATGCTAGCATTTAACTGAGACGTTTTTTTCTTTTTCATCATAGATGTAGATACAGGTTTATTGTGTCAAAGTGCTTAGCTCTAAGAGTGAGCCGTCACAGCCCATACTTAGAAGATCAAAAGGCTGCGACAATTCACCAGCTAGTTTACAGGTATTACATCATTACACAGACATCTCTTTTCAAACTTCTCTGAATATTCCCCACGAAATGTCAGATACAGAATCTGGATCCAGTCTCCCTTACAGCTGTCCTTCTTACGCATTAATTTTAAACTCCGGAGACTGCGATAGCACACCAGCTAGTTTACTGGTATTACACATATGAAAATAAAATCTGGTTAACTTAGCATCTTATCAGTATTAAAAAATATCATATTATGATAATAAACTCCATATATACACCTAATAAAATTGCAATAAAACGAAAGCACATCACATTAAAGTTTGGAGGGAAACTGTATCATTTCAGGGGAAACAAGGGCACTTCAATCCCCTCCGATTTTCTTAGGAGAATTCTCACCTCGAACTTTTGTGATATGAGAAACTTTTTATGCCTGTTGTTTTCGTATGGATAAAACATGTCGTTTTAGGTACAAAGAAAGGTGAGCTACGATTTTCGGATTTGAAAGGCAGTAAGGGTTAATGAATTTTCAAGACTCGTTTCCCAGAAATGCCGAACAGATGAATATTTTAACGTTAAAATAGCTAAAATTAACCTACAGGCCCCGGTTGTTCGAAAGGTGGATAACACTATCCACCGGATAAATCACTATCCAGAGGATGACGTGACCTTCGAACAACCAGGGACAGAGCTTTAAAAACACTTCACATAGCCTAACAGCATTTGAGATTAAACCATTGCTGGGTGTGCATGGAGGAATGGAACAGATCAAGCGGTGAAATGCAGGAAAAGCTTACCATGAACATAGTTAATAGAGGGGACTGGTTATGAATTCAAGCCCGGCAAACACCAAACAAGCAAACAAAGATTACAAGATTTATGTTGGAAAGTCCACGACCGTGCACAATCTTTTGTTTTGCGCTCATACACTATGCATGAATTACGTAACCAAAACGTTTCTATTGGTTTGTTCCTCAGTACGGAGTAAACAACTATTGTGTTTTGTGCACGGTCAAGGCCACGGTCAAAGCGAACAAAAACATACAACTAAGAACTTTGTCGGGTTTCATGACCATTCCCCTCTACTAACTATACCAAGAAGGAATATTGGTCCAAGATTAGAGTTCTTTGTAATTCTAACCACTGAACAAGTGAATACAAGTCCTTGCCACTGAACTAAGAGGCAAATTGTGAACACTGTTGTCAGTGAAAACCGGCGCGCATCAGAAAATGAACTACCAAAGGGCTTCATGAGTGTGACTTTAATTTTTGAGTCGTCCATATCAGTTGTAAAGTAAAAAGTATGGAAAATCTAATCCAGCTCTTCGAGAACAAAACAATCACGTAACGTAATAGACAACCGAAATTCTGCGACATCTCGTTCCAAACTAATCATTACATTCGCCCGGCAACGCAGAACTCGCAATTTAGAGACGATAGATCTTTCTTTCCAAATGTGACTAATCGATGACATCAATGAGTCTGATAAGACCAGTGGCAATAAAATATTTAAGTTAGTACGCGGGCCCAAAGAATACAACGCGATGTCCCCCGCCAGGGCTCAAACCCAGGCCGCTCGATCCGGAGACGAGCGCACTAACCATGAGGCCACCGCGCCTCTCACAGATTTATACAGTTTTCAACGTGTCTGGTTGTTCCAAGTGAAAGTTAAGTAACTTACCTTCAATAAAGTTTAAATGGCAGTGGGTTTTGAAATCGATATTAATCTGAAGTGGTTTCGTGGAATATCAAAACCGAAAAGAAACTACTATCATTTCTGGCGAAAGAATAAGACTGTACTATTGCATGACGATGTTATAATTAAATTGGTTCTTGTTGCTACTATTACAGACTGCACGATGTTTAGCTGTCTTGCTGGGAACAGTTCCATGCATTTAGTTCTAATAAACAAAGCCACTAATCGACTGTTAACTCAAACTTTGACGAAAGTGGGCTTGATATCGCATTTTCTAAGGTGAAATAATTCTAAATTTGTTTTGCTTTTTTTTTTTTTGCTGTACATCATAACCAAACAAAGTTGTTGGATTAGCCTTATCATAACTGTTAAGAGTCCACTTAGTGCTGCCACCCTCAAGGGCTTTTATTCACACTAAAATAATAACTCTCGCATGCCTTGCGTGCCTATGTTTTGCCTTGAGTCAACAATTTGCTGATTTAGTTTAATTCCGTACATCCTCGGACATCCAGGGGCTGCTAGTCGGGACGATGCGATATTTTCGGGCGAAAGTTCACTTCAGCAGCGGACTGCTCTTGAAGTAAACTTTCGCCCGAAATATCGCTCGCCCGAAAATATCGCATCGTCCCGACCAGCAGCCCCTGGACGGTCTCCAAGGATGAATTGCATACTAAGGGCATTCGCGCCGAAAAGGTTCCCACGAACATACTTTTTTAAAACTTACTATGAAGTAAGGTAAAGGTCAACTTTAGCCAAGAAGCCAAAACAAATGGGGGTCACCGTGCTCGTTTTCGAGATAAGGCCGTTGAAGGCAATCCGTTTTTAGAGGTTTTTGTTAATTTAAGACAATGCTAGCTTACAACTATCGGTCTTGAAAAAAAAAAGCAACAGCAGTGAAATTATGATCATGTAAACGTACTCAACTCAGCACAAATAACTCTATTAAATAAAATTTTTGGGGTGATGTCGTTCCTACAGGTAGAATAGGCCTAAAAAAAATATTAGCCTTGCCCCGCCACATTCGAAGAGAACGTCACTTAAACGACAGCACAAAAAGCGAAATATTTGTATTTTTTACGGATAGATTTTTTATGTTTAGAAAAATGGGGGTCACCGAGCGTCCAAGAGGGTAAATTGCAGGTGAAGTTAGCGGTGACAAGCCCTGTACTCGCTTAAATTTCTTCCTTCCTTGTCTATCGATTGCTACAACGAAGGACCAACGTTCAAAACGGCAGCTGCACAAACGGCGGTTAGTTTTAGTATCAACTTCAAGTTGACTAAAGAGCTAATTGTTTAATTTGTCCCCATACGCAACCTAACAGTTTTCTCGGGATAGTAACAGCACTAATATCTTTGTTCGAAAAAGTCTGGCTCGTTGCATATGATAGCTTGCGCTAGTAAATTATCCATTTAAAATATTCAGCTCACGTCAACAAATTTCCTATTTTAATCTATTAACCCTTACATAGCCATTACAGTTTGATTAAAAAGGACCGAGATGAAAACTCACAGTTTCGTTCTACAAACAGCACGCAAATTTCGAAAACGTGCCTTTATCGATTTTACGATTTACTTAATTAATAAACCAGCTTTCTTTTCCGCACATTGGCCAGTAGTTCTAATTCATCTACGTTTTTCGTTTCGTTGTCTCGGTTTACTTTCCGCGTCCTTTAAATTGATAAATTTGACAATGTCCGACGTAGGTGCCACATCTGTTATCTCCAAATGTATTTGCATACGCTCTCGCTGCGTTCTGCGCTTCATTGCGTGTCCTGCCCACGCCAAAGACAACTCCTGGACAGTTTATCCCAGCGGGAACATTGCGACAGTTGCAGCGGGCGTAAAAGGAATTCACTATAAGTTTTACAGCGAGTTTTGTTGCTATTCTTTTAAACCAACTAAGTGGGATATTTCCCCCTGCGGCTTCGGTTTCTTCAGGGATAGTGGACACCAGGAGCAGGAAGACAAAGGCAGCAACTTGAATGAGTTTCATTGTATCAGGAGCTGTGGAAAAGAACTTATAGAGACAACTGTTAATATTCTATGGAGACGTAATGCTTTCACTTGAGTGCTTTGCACAATAAAAATTACTTCCACAATCAAACCTGATTGCTAAATTTACTGTCGACTTGTCCTAATACTTGCCGAGAAGTAAAACTGTGATGCTGTGCCTTTTGGGGCCCCATCCACACTACGCCGGAGAAATTTGAAAACGGCGGTTTCACTCTGAAAACGCATCAAATGTTTTCTGTCCAGATTTCGACGGAGAAATTTGGAAACGCAACACTCACCGAGATGCAGAAACTCGAGTGTCTTGAGTATACCCTTGAGGGTTCGGGTTAGTCACATGCTTATCGTAAAGTCATCGTTGTCGAAAAATTCCGTTTTCAAATTGTTCTACGTCCACACTAAAACGCAGAGTCAACGTTTTCAAATTCTTCCGGTTTGAAGACCGTTTTCGAAGAGCTTCGTTTTCGGTGGACAGTTTCTACGGATTAGTGTGGACGCTAAGCCTCATGCATCAGTCAATTGAAATCCCGGCCCCCCGACAGCGGGACATAGCGGGGAATTTAACATTTACCCAGTGTTAAAAGATGGCTTATTTCCCCGCCCCCGGGGCCAAGAAGTCTGTTATAAGCCCCGTATAGCGGGGGCACCGAACACTGGCCTCTTCTAGGCGTTCAGTTAGTTAGGGCGCAGCGCGAAAAACGGAGCGCGAAAAAATAAGTCTCCATTTTTTTACAAGCAACACGACAAGTCGTTCCTTAGTAAAGCGGACTTGATAGGCGAAATAAAACTCCATCATACGAACTGGCCAGTGGGAATTAATGTAGTAAAATGCTTTGAGGGAACTGTTTTTATAAATCCTTTTTAACAGGTAAATCACAAACTTCCGAATCACTATGAAGTTCATTTCTGGTTGCTCCCTTACCTCCCTGCTGCTGTCAGTGTTAATTACTAAGGAGACTGAGGCCCTCGCGCCCGTTATACTTGCTAGGCTTGGTCAACTGGCTGATCGGCAGGGCTCGACACTGGCAAAAATGACCTACTACGCCAAGTGCAGCACAGTGAATGAACTCCCCGAGATGAAGTGTCTTTCACTGGAATATTTCAAAAATATTCCAGTGCATTTATATAATACCAAAATCTATATAATTCCTAACTAGTTTTGGCGATTTTGAATTCGTTCACGCCCGACACAATGTCGACTTGACCTTTGCAACGTGTCCGAGAGGAACGGCGCCGATTTGAGTTGTTTCGTTATTTGGTTCCGGTGTTCGAATAGCCTCTACCAGGCGTTCAGTTATTTGGGGCGCAGCGCGAAAAACGGCGCGCGAAAAATAAAAACAGCGCGGCGAGTGGAACTTTCCTTTGTTTTTCATCGTATATATGGATACAAATTTATTGCGTCAATACACTTAGCTCAAAGAGTGAGTCACCACAGCCCATCCTTAGAGAATCAAGAGGCTGCGACAGCTCACCAGCTAGTTTTACAGGTTTTGTTTGTTTGTTCCGTTTTATTATTTCCTCTATTTATTATTATATTAAAAAGAAGCGACTTTTTAAAACATTTGAAACAAAAATAATTTTTTAAAAACGGTTAAAAAAATGCACAACGTTTCGACGTTCTCGGACGTCATAATCAAGTAGAAAAAAGCAGTATAAATATTCTATAAATACAAGAAAAACAATAGTTTATTAAAAAGAAAGGTAACACAAAAATATGCTACAAGCTAAACAAAGAGTTTAGCACTGATGAAGTCACTCTGAGTGTTAAGGCTAGGCTTCAGTTCTTTGATGAATAGCATTTCGTAAACGAGGCAGTCAAATTTCCCATGGCACTTCTTGAAAACACGAAATTGGCCCTCATAGATTTTTATAATATAAAAAGAAATTATTATATTACAAGATATCTTTCTTTAAAGATATTTAAATGTATTAAATAAAGCAAGAAATAGAGAAGGGCACAATATAATAAGATTAATTAAGGCCCAGGTATCACATGTTTGCCACACACATCTCATTCCAAAATCCCCTCTTTTTATATATCAATACAATTTCCCTGACCAAATAAAAACGACATGCGTGTCAGATCAGTATGACTGCGGCCGCCAGCCTCCCCTGATTGCGATAAAATCACGTCCTAATTACGTTTGGAGGGAAACTCTTAGTGCTTTCCATTATGCCAAAAATTCCGGAAATTTCGTTCGGAAGTGAAATGGAAAGGTCGTTTTAGTTCAGTCCGAATGGAATGCTCGGGACCACCTCTGGAGGAAGTCCACATTGATCAGTCGGATCGACCGAAATTTGCCGTTCCATGTTCACAAACCAGTTTGTTATCCTACTTTCCCTCAGTAGATTTCAGACACCTTTTCACTTATGTGGGGGATTGGCGAAAGGAAAAGAAAATGTAAGAGCCATTTCTCTCGGTTGGTCCGGTTTGATCGGTAAATGTCGTCCCATTTTTTTCTTTTTCAGTCGCAGTACTGGTCTCTGGCCGGTCGGGCTGGAATAATGGGAAGCACCCTGTTTCATCCCGGGAGATACGGATTAGATTAGGTGATGTAGGAGAGGAAGAAACTTACCGTACCAGGAATGAATATTGGTCCCAAATCAGTGTTCTAAGTGATCCACACCAGAGAATTAAGCGGATACAAGTTTTGGCCACTGAACTAAAAGGCAAATCGAGAACATCATTTTTAGTGAAAACTGCCACGCATTAATAAAATAAACTAACAAAGGGCTTCATGATTGTGTCTTTAACTTTTGACTTGTCCTTATCAATTTGTAAAGTAGAAAGTTTGGAAAATCTAATCCAGCTCTTGGTGAACAAAAGAATACAAGTAACGTAAAAGACAACTGGAATTTCCTGATATTTCGTTAAAAACCGGCTCAACATTACCCTCGCACGGCAACCCAGTAGAATACTGGTTCTCAAATTAGAAACGATAGATCCTTCTTTACAAACGTGACTAATCGATGACATCGATGGCTCCCATGAGATCATTGATTATAAAATATTTAAGATAGTACGCGCGCTCTCATTGGTCGATAGGTGTTTTAACGTGAGAGCATGTAAACATGGTTATTTTTCTATGTTTCGAGAAATACTCTATGGATCCAATAGTACAGTGGACTTTTTCGCGTGTTTACATAGCCTCATCTAGACAGAACACTCGCGGATTGGGAGAATTCTCAATAGTTATGCAAACCCTCGACTGCTACTCGGCAAAAATTCTCCTAGCCCCCCTCGTGTTTAGATGAGTGCTTTGTAAACACAGTAAAATCCTCGATTGGTTGCTTTGCCACGCATAGCAACCAGTGAGATTGCTTCATAGACAATAGCTTACTTCAAATGACTTTTTTCGTGTTTGCCAAAGTGGGCAAAGGCCGGCTTTCGAGTTAAGCTTATGTTGAAAGATTTTGAAATAAAAGAGCTGTCTGTAGTAGTTTGTTTCTTTATTATATAAAACAAATAGATTCCATGTTGCCGTGCGTCTGTTCAGTAATAGATCACAGAAGACGTCAAAATGTGATAA